GTGCTACAAAGCACACAACAGGCGTGACTTACAATGTACACTCGAGTATTACAAAAGATTATTCCATTGACGAATTCATACACATGTGCAAGCAATAACTAGAAATAAACTATATAAGCATTTATTAAGTGTAATAACACGGAGCATTTTATAGACACCAGCCCCTGTAGTTGAATATGCACACCGAATGTTTCTGTCACTCTGCTAATCAGCGGCCTCCATGCAGAGTTGCAGTTCAATCAGAACATGTACCGCATGCCACTTTTTCTATTGTTTAAATTACATGTATTTTATAATTATACACATTTCAGTCGAAACAGGCTCCGTGCTATATTTACCGGTCGTAGGTACCACCGAATCAATGCCATTTCATCTAGTATTTCGCCACTTTATATTAGGTTTCATGAACATATCAAAGAGGGTATCCATAACTTCTTCATATGCCATTTAAAGCAGACGAGAACAATTCTGTTCAATGCAGTAAACACTGTATATTACAAAAAAAGGTCTATTAGATTAGTCTCTACATTGAGACTTGAATCCAAGCCATTCAAATTAACCAGTATGACAGTTGCGCCTCGGTGCCCTATATACATGATAAACTGACAAATTCGCCTAAAATCAATAATTCCAAAATTATGTAATAAACCAGAAGTTTAACAATATGTAGTCACATATCTAACAGCTCTTACAAAAATCCCTGAAATACTATTCGTATTGTGCATCTCGTCAGACTAGCGACCTCTTCGTCAAACACTAAGCAGAAATAAATAATAACCTCAATAATAACAAAACAAACTATATGGTGTAATTTTGTATCGACACACAGTGGTAGTTAGGTCCATTTCAGGTTTTGATCTGTGTATGAGTCTCCCACTCCATATAACCACACTGTCAAATCAGGATGACACGTAATAAGGCGTCTTTAACCTCAAGTTCAAGACCGACTCTTTACTTAAATTAGTCTGTGGCTGAGTGCTCTTTATCTATTCAAATGACCCCTTAATCTATATTGTTAGTCTGTGTGATGTTTTGTAGGCTTGCCTTGGCAAAACCCCTCAGCCAGGTTATATGCTTATTGGTATAGTCAGCAACTCTATCTCAATTTTCACTTGGTGTGGTCCTCCCTGACAGGCTAGCACTAACAGTAGTTCTCCAGGTGTCTCCCGTTTTAATGGTATGCTTACTTTGCCAGACATAACGCTGTAAACGTACACCCTGGTAAAACAACTGCACCCACATTTTCTTTATAGGTATTATATCAATGGTTCATCCCCACTGGCCCATTACGGAGTTAAGATTATCAACATATACTACCAAAAGCTGCCAATTTATTTTGAACAGATTAGGTTGATATATACACCACAATTTAAGGCATGGCCACTACATTCAAAATTGTAAAACCTTCAAATAAATTATAATAATATAACTTTTGAAGAATTGTGCTTGTCTTATTCAAATAATCGTTAAATAATATCTGTATACATGACATAAAATGCTCCAAGACTAGTTCGGTTGCTAAACCTTTCTAAACACCTTTTCCTTCAGTATTTGTGTAAAATGAGCAATTAATTATCACTGAAAAAATAGTAAGCGTTTGGTTGGCCAATAATGAAATTAGAGATTCAGTCCGATCTCGTATGCTTTTTCCAAAAAACGGAACCATGTCAAAGTAAAAATCAAACACGAATATTCTAAAAAATTGAAATTTAAGATATTGATAGACAAAATACAAAGTAGCCTCAACTGTGAAATTGATGAACAAAAACAACAGTTTCAAGCTGAACTTAAAAGGCATATGACAACCTCACCCCTCTGACACCGAGGTGTCAAGCACAACCGCGTCCACTAAGGTTCCCGCTACAACATCCACTGATACCCCTGCTAAAACTATCACTCTGAACGATTCACACGACAAGGTAATCAACTGCAGTGAATAGCCCTTTGATTAAAAAGCCAGCAAAACCAGATCACCAGAAATTAAACCAAACATGAAGAAAGCGCTTCATAATTCACCACTAGCAGACAGCGGAGTATATAAAAGTCACGACCCTCAAAGAAGCTCAAAGGTTCATGTCAAAATATGTCTAACGCTTTGATAATAGTACCAGAAGTAACACAGAGACACAGCAAGCAGATAAACAAAAATATTATCGAATACGAGGGACCCGACTACCGACCTTCTGCTTACTCACATGCCGCACTCATACCGCACACAACTGAAACTCAAAATCGTAAAATAAAGCGCCACCAGAGGGATATTAGATCTGAGTTCTACAATCACGTGTTATCTTGAAATGGATGGACTTCACAAACAGCTTTTGGATGACGCTTACTTCTTTTTTCCCTCCATTTATAGCCATGCGTTTTGTTTTAAAAGTGACCATGCTAAATCTTTGATGCAAAGTAGGCAAATCATTATTTTCAATACAAAAAGTGTCAACAAATATGCAACTTAGTAATTGTAAATTGCCATAAAGTAAGTGATTCCATGGGACAACTGACATAAGAGGAAATTTAACGGTGGATTATGCTATCGCATCATAACAGCAATATAGTAACATTGAACATTTCCAAATTTATCTCATACCCCTGCTCACTTTCAATGAAAGTTAAAATTAAAACATTTTGCGAACAGCGTCTTGTAAATGGACGACGCTACGGCCTGTGACAGCACAACTGTCTCGGGGTTGAAATGTAAGGGAAAACCTCTATTGATACAAGACTATGTTACATCTAAAAAGGGTTCGTCCGGGGAAACTGATGAAGATGAAATTATGAGTGAGGGCGATGCGCAGATGTAAACAAAAGCCCAAGCCAGAGCAAGTCAC